TTGTTGTTGTTGTTGTTTTTTTTTAAATACTTGCTTTGCTTTGGATTGATGAAAGTGTTTTCTGCATTTCCTCCATTTTTAGTAACAATCGCAGCAGCTTCGGCTCTCGGTGCTGGTGAGTCTTCTGAAAATCTTGTGTTCAGTTCATCGCTATAATAATGTTTTTACGGTGTATTTAAAATAAAGTGACGAAAGCATTTTTCCTCTTGCCCTCATAAGGTGGGGCGATCGTAGCAGCCCCGGTGGTGCTGGGAGCCATCGGGTTCACCAGCGTGGGGATAGCGGCGGGGTCGTATGCGGCATCGATGATGTCTGCGGCAGCGGTGGCTAATGGGGGCGGCGTGGCAGCAGGGAGCGCGGTGGCTGTCCTGCAGTCAGTCGGTAAAAGCCTAAAATTAGGTTATGCCGTGCAAGTTGTCTCACAAAAAAAGGAAAAAAAAAAGAATTAAATGTGACTAATCAGAGTTAGGTGTGTTTGCTAATGCTTATGTGGTGTTTCCCTGCAGGGATGGCAGGAATGGGGACAGCGGCCACATCTGCCGTGGCCGGTGCGGGAGGGGTGCTTACAGGACTTGCGGCCCTCATTTTTTAAGACGCACATCATTCATATGAAAATAAAAAAAAAAACTTTCCAAATGAAAATCAATTTGAACTCAAGGCAAACAATGTTGTTAAATGAATGATTCTAAATAAAAGCAATTGAGAAGTATTTACTGAGGGTTTTTGTCATTTTTTTTTTGCATCTTTCTTTCTTGTACAAAATATAATGGACTAAAAGTAAATGCTGTCACAACATTTAACCAGATTTCTGAAGATGCTAATTATGTTTCTATCCAAGTCTCTGTCACCCTGTTCTGCTCTGGGTAGCAGTTTTGTTTCCTGAAATGTGCTCAAAGAAAGCAGAGCTGGTCATGGTGATCATGCACATGCAGGGGGTGACACTAGCACCAGATACATAAGGTGCTGATTGAAGAAAAGTTTTTCTATTTGCAGACATTTTTCACTCATTTTGTAGCTTTTATGGACATTCATCCAATGTCGTTATGAATGCTCACATATTGTTATCAATGGATCCATTCTGGGATTGTAAAACTTCATGTTAAAATGTTTCAATCTGAGTTGAGAGGAACATCTAGTAAAGAGTAAAATTCATTACGTTTACTTACATATTTAAAGTTAAATAAACTGCACCCATTTTCTACCGCTTGTGACGCCAAACTGCTTGAATCTTTTGGCAGTAGAACGTATTCAGCAAATATATTTTAAAGGGCGTCTTAACTTAAATTTGATCTCCTCATGATTCAACAAAAAGCACCTTTCTTGCTGCCCACATCGGGAAAATAAAAATAAAAGTGCAACGAGAGACCGTGAAATAAAAAGAGCTGAGGTACAAATTACAGAGACAATTTTAAAACCTGCTTTCTCAGTGTGAAGAATGGCTGTCAGTCTTCTGTGGGTTGAGTCATTGCATTCAAATTGTTAGATAGTCTTACAGTGAGGGGCATGTTTATTGTCAGTGATAGTTTTATAATGCTTACATGTTAGGCTGCAGGATTGTGATGGCAAGCCACACAGGGTAAGATCCACACCTCATAAGTTGCCTTTCACCTTAGTTTGTTTTGTAAGTTTAAGTATTTATATTCTTCCACCTTACAATGTTTATATGGAGTGCACACATATTAACAATGCAAGGTCGAAATTCAGTTATGTTGTATTAATATTGTTTTCTTTGTTACCTGGGTGTTTGGCTCCCCTCCCTGGTGGACAAAAGGCGTGGCAAAGGGCTGAGGTTCTTAAAGTACTGCTGATGGCCTCATTGGACTGAACCACCTGTGTCGTGCTGGGGGGGTGTTTTTTGGGTTTATTTCATTGTTTGTGTTAGTTGTCAGGTGGCAGCCATTTTGTTTTCCCCTATTGTGTCCACATAGTTTAGCTAAACCAGTGTTTAAATCCCCTTCTGTGTCATTTCAGTTAGGTCAGTTTGTTGTTTTGTCAGTTATGTCTTGAGTCTAGTAATTTATGTTGACCTCTTTTATTGGCATGCCTGTATAATTGCTATGTTAACCTTTGTTCATATTTTTTGAGTAAATAAAAACCCATCTTTTTTGAATTCAACACCTGTGTTCTGCACTTTGTACTGCCTGGTCCCTGACAAGGATACTAAGTAAACTTGTGATATTTGATCTGATATCTATGATGATGGATGCTGCCACAATCTGATTATAAAAATAAAATGTGCACAAACTGTTTTCTGCTTTGGATGAGAAACAGAACCAAAAACTTCAAAAAGTAACATGTGATAAAACATTTGCTTTAGTAAAAAATCCCAGTAATAACTTTACGTTTGTCTTCTTGAACATTTTCAGCGCCAAACTGGAACAGAGATCTTGACTGTTGGGTATATTTAGCTTTTAAATTTAGACAGAAAAAAATATTTGTACTTGTACTCCAATGTAAAAATTTATCCACTTTTTTTAGGTTTATATTTCAAATTAACTTAAAATGTAGCTATATTGTATATTGTCATTATTGTGGCTCTGCAGGATTCTGCTCTGTTGTCAGTTGCGTTAAGCCATCCAACCTGTAAACATGGTGCTTATGTTTCGATTATCAAGAAAACCCAAAGAATGTAAAAAAACATGTCAGTCCAGTAGATAAGAAATTATGACGTCAAAAACAAGACATGAATTCATGATGTTTTTGTGTACAATGATTTGAGAAGAATGCCATATTTCAGGTTTTCTTCGTCACAATGCTTCCCTGCCTAACATGTGCATCAATACAAGTAGTTTCCTCCAAGAACCCTAAAGCGACTTACAGCTGTGAGGTCAATAAAAAACAAGCAGCTTAAAGTGAGTTCATTATCAAAATATGTTTTTAGTATTTAATCTTAAAGCATTTTTTAAATATGGATTCCCTCCCCTCCAAGTCAGAATGTTACCTACATTTACTAATTATTTTCCAGAACTGCTTTTCAACTGCATGACTTGGGTCAAGCATTTAGTTATCTGTTTATCTGCAACAATATTGATAAATTATGTTTTTGTTTTAAATGCCATTATTCTGGCATTTAGCAGGTAGGAAAAAAAAGTGGTTCTACTAACTGACCTAAAACAAGAGAACTGTATTCTGACATCACTTCAGACACTTGAAAATATTCATTATGTGTCTTTTTATATTGTGTATGTACTCTTCTGGATTCACCTGTATAAACTGATGAGCAAGCTTCATTGATTTCAATTAAATGTAGCTTACAAGTAAAATAAGCACCACTCATTGACTACAATTGCTTTGTTCGTGATGTCAAGATGCGGTGAAGTGTATTCGGCACTCCTAATAAACTTACAAGCAACAAGATGTGAAATTAAAAGAACTGAGGTAAAAATTACAGTCAGTTTTAAAACCTGGCAACGTGTACAGATTGGGCGTCAGTGAGTGTTCACAGCCTGTGCTGGTTGTTACACAGGTTACATGAAGGTCAGCAGGACATTAAGAAAACTTGTGGCGATACTGGTAGTCAATGATCCCATGTGGAAATAATGCAAATAAAAAGTAGCATCTGATAATGTCTGTTGGATTTTTGTTGTTTTTTTAGAGCACAAAACCTATCTGTTTCTTATTAATGACTTTACCAGAACATATTGTTGCCCTTTTTGAATAGTCTTGGCACCAAATATATAATTGAAAACTGCTCTAGGTTTTTTGGTATGAGCATGTTGAGCAATCTTATTTTAAAGAATGTTTTCTCTTAAATTTTATCTACTTTAAATGCCATAACAAATAAAGCACTTTTGACATTTATAATAAGAAAATAAATAAATTAAACAAGACACTGTAAAGCCAAAAGAACTGAGGTAAAAATTGCATAGGCATTTTTAAATTCTGGCAAACTAGCCTGAAGAATGACTGTCAGTCTTGTGTAAGTTTAATTATTGCTTTAAAATAATATGTATATGTAAGAGTGAGTATTATGTTTGCAGTCAGCAGTGGGTTTTGTAATGCTCATGTAGGGATGCATCACATAAAGAAAACCTGAAATATATCATAATGATGGTGAATGTTAGGATTCAGACAATGTCTTTCTACTTTGGGTCAATAGCAGACATGGACCACGGAGTGGAAAAAAGTAGCATTTGATAACATATTTGGTATATTTAGCTTTTTACAGTCTACAGTTCTTCTGCCTGCAAACTGTGTGTGTGAAGTTTTTATTTATTTATTTATTTTGACGTCTGCCTGTTCTGCTGTACGTTTCCGCAGCGTAACTGATAGCAGCTGAGGAACAAGCTGGGTCAGCTGCTAGCAGAATAATCAGATTGTAATCATATTTTCTTTTGTTTTTGAAAATTTGATAAATGAAAGTAAATAGCAGCACTAATTACCAATATGTTTTTGTTTCAAAAAAAGAACAGGTGTGCCCTGGGGTGTGCTCTTCCTGGAATTTACCCATTTATGGGCGTGTTGTACATCGTTTTAGCTGCAGACACAAAACAATTGTTTAATGAGATAATCGCCTCAGATACTGAACCTCTCAGTCATGCTCATCTACATATTAACCTTTTTTTTTTTTACTTTATGTAAGTCTCTTTTAAGTGTAAACTTAAACCATATTGAGTAGATTGAGCCTGTCATGAATACTAGATAAACAATTTTTCTGTAAAGGTAAGTTGTTTCTCAGCCGTCAGCACATTAAACAGTGCGTGCACACGCTTGATTGACAGCACTAAGGGACATGTCCTGGCTCTGATTGGCTGTTTTTGACCGGGTGTGGTGCATTTTTGTAGCCAGGAACAATAGCACTGGGAGAAGATAGAGGAGCTCAATCTTTTCAAAGATTATCTGCGTCATAAGAGATGGTGTTTGAACAAATATGTAAAAATACATTTTACAATTACATACTGCGGCTTCGAGGTTAAATACAAACCTTAGTTTTCTTCTCACATCTTTACACTTTATTCAGATTTACAATGTTTCTATTGTTTAGGCGCACTGATCCCAAAATCTCATCTCTTATTTAAAGAAAAACCCTGGAGAATCATCAAAATCATTTCTTTTTATTTAAGACTGAAAGTAGTGTCCAAATGTGCAGATACAAACATGTTGCTTAAAAACATCTTTTATTTACTGCATCATCTATTTGTAGTGGTTCCCTAAGAATGTCAACAAAAAGACGAACCGTTTTTTTGACATTATGGAGAAAAGACCATCAGTCTTACATCAGTATTAGGGATCATAGTTCATTTTTCACAGTTACGTTGCAAACAGTTGATATGATCTTCCCCATAGTATTTCCAACCAGAGCAGAAAATGAAAAGCCAAACCATCCTAATCCAGCAGCACCTAAAAACAAACATATATTTTAGTTCTCTCAGCTGCAGAACTTTATCATACAGTTCATCCTGACATGAAGTTATTTCTATTTGCATGTTCTTCCTTTTCTTCGTCTCAAAGTTTGCTTCATATACTCACAATGTAGAAATGTTTTTAATAATTTTTTTGTTTTGAGAAGATCAATATTTAACTTACCAGCTGACTGTAACATAGCTATCGGTCAGATTGATCCAAACAGTGACATCAGATATGCAGCAAAGGAGCCTGCTGCTACACCAGCTGAGGTGAAGCCAAGCCAAGCCAGAAGAGCAGGACTCATAATCACAACACCTCCTGCAGGAACACAGCAGAGGAAAAAAATATTTCAGTTTATTTTTCAGCAAATGGTGGAATTGAGTCACTTGGTAGCATTGGAGCAAAAGCAGGTCCTTTGTTTGAATCCCAGCCTGGGGTCTTTATGGTTGTGGTTGGATTGCAAGTGTTTAAATACTTACCGACTGAAAATGCCGTAATGATGGCCTTACCTTTTTGCAAAACACAAAAAGTAGATAAAAACACAAAAAACAATGGTAGAAAGTGAGGACATGAATATAGATGAACAATATTTACATTCGTCATTACTTACACATTTCTTCTATGATTTCAGAGTCCATATCTGCGTTTTGTGTTACCTGCAGATTGTGAATTTTAAAGTAACATCAGGGGATGTAGTCTCTAAAATGTTAAAGAAAACTCTTACAACACAGGTCTATCGAACAAACTAAAACCTCTGAAAATAAGCAGTCATTTCTTTGCTTAGTCTAATAAACCAATACAAATCACATTTAGCCCTTCAGTGATTCAGATAACATGTTCAACACGATAAAGGTGTTTCAGATTTTAACAAGAAAGCAACATAGTGGATGAAGAGGGAGAACTTTCACATCAGGTCTACTCCTCTTTTTAAATGATTCATTCAACTTTCTGTTTGACATGAAATTAATGTTGGGTTTTCATCTTTTCCTTTTTCTTTTTGAAGAGTATGAGATATGGCAGGGAATCTCATTCAGGGATATATTTTTTGTGGTAGTTTCTGGTAAACAGAATTTTATATTTTCACAACTTTAGCCCTTGGTTGCTTTCTTTTTGAAGACTATTAAGACTGCTGGAAATCTACGGTATTGTGATTTCCAGCAGAAGATCTTAACTCGATTTAATATCGAGCTTCAAAAGGAAGCTCGATATTAAATGTTTCAGAATGCAAAAAGGCAGATTGCAGTTTTATCAAAACAGTACCTCAAAAGCCGGGTTAAAAATATTTTGGCAATCACTAAAAACACCTATAGCAGTTAACAAACTCAGAATTACAAATTTCAAAGAGCATTATGTAGAGCTTTTACATTTCTCCTTACCTGAGGCTGGTCTAACTGGTTCTGCTAAAACACTGACAGCAAGGTCCAACTTATAGTAAAACCACAATGGGAGGTCCTTGTAATTGTGAGCTGAAAAGTTGGTATGAAAAGTTGGTATGATCCGGTCTACTTCTGTTTTGTTGCGGTAAAACTTAATTTATCCAAGAAGTTTATTTCTAAAGTCCTCTTCTTGTACAAGATCAAAATCATCCTATCATGTCAGCTACTGAAGAACAGCACAGGTGTACTAATATTTACAAGTCAAATAGTGAGAAGGCTCTTCTCAACAGGTTGCTGTGAGAGTTGAGATCCTGTTTAAACCCGAAGCTGCAGATGTCAGCAGCCAATCTGCACACAGAGCTCATAAGCATAAGTGATATAAAGACATGACATAAAAGCCATATTTCGATATGAAATCTGGAGGGTGTGATGGTGGCACAGGGGCAAAGCACAACCCATGTTTGGATGCCTTATGCATGTCCTTGATGCATGTCTTCGCCCGCACCCATTACCCACTTTCCTGACTGACCACTCTCAAATTGAGGCCACTAGAGCCAATAAACCTTAAAAACTGGGAAAATATATATATATATTTTATTGTCACTAGTAAAGATCTGTATATTATGAATGAAAACCTGAATAAGTGGGAGTGGCCTCTAGGAGTCATGAGGAATGTGATGGGTTATCATATTTGCCAGTCGTGATAGAACAGATTTAGCTTTTCTGTTCTATTAATTCATGTGTTAAAAAAATGTAAGACCTTCATTTAGCTTCTAAACATATGTTGCTTTTGACAAAGTAATGAAGAAATTACCTTTTTCACCGCCGTTTCAAGTGTCCAATGTGACAGTACTTCAATCATCTTTTCCATGCTTTTTCTGTAGACTGCATAATTATGGTTTAACGACTGTGTCACATCTACCTTTTTTATAGTAATAATGACAATAATAATAAACTTTATTTCGACGAGGCAATGTACAGTTCTACGTTTTTAAGAAATTCATTTGTTCTAGGGTGCTAAAGTGTCTAAAACATTTGTAATTACTATTTCTGTATCATAACTGCTTCATTAGAAATGTATGGCCATGTAAATTATATGTTTTCAGCAACAGGAATTTAAGAAAATGCAGTGCCTGGTTTAAAAGGCATAGCAGAAAACCAGTAATACAAGCTGTTATTAAAAATATATATTTATTTAAAAGTGCATTTTGTTAAGATCCTGTTCATTTTTCATCTGTAAAAAGAGAAGTCTTGCCATATTCCTCTATATGAAATAGCGTGTTTTGACGTTCCTTATCAGTTCAATAGGGTATATGCCACGAGAGGTGGTGACGTATTTCCGTTTGAATTTATTCCACATAGGTTGGTTCCGGGTCCTGCTTGCTCCTATTGTTCTTGGCCGAAGCTGCAAGATCTGTACCATGAAAAAGACGCAAAACTTAAAATATCTGTGAGCTACTGGTACAACAATCGAGTTTTGTGGTGTGCCGTTGTGTCCAGCCGGCACCATCCAGTGCTTAGTTTTTTTTCATTTTCTAGCTGATCAAGGTGACAGTGGACTGTAGCCAAAACTTAGCCACTAAAGCTAACACGCGGTTTGTAGCTGCCTGCTATTTCAAAGCTTGAGGATATTGAAGATCCAGCGTCAGAAAGGGGAAGATGGAGGATGTAAAGGGAGTTGTACTTGTTTCGTTTAGTGGAATAATTTGTTGGAGGAAAATAATGCCGGAGGAAATCCACTGCAACGGGAACAGGCTGAGAACAGAGGCAGCGATTCGGCACAAGTTAAGTCAATACGTGTGTTGATGCATTTGTGTTATACGGAGTATGAAATTATTTTTAGGCAACTCCTTAGTTTTTGTTTATGTGACAATTATATAAAATACATTTAACATGCAGTCGGAGCGATACCGAGCACGGTCATTTAAAAACAGCCGAGAGCGTAGTCAGATTAAGGTCCAAAACCTTCGCTTTACAGCCGTTTAAGTGGGACCGACCCACATAAAAAAAAACCTCAGAACAAATGGTGCAAATCACGTATTTCCCGAATCCCGAATATATTATTATCTATCTTTGCTGTTTCATAATTATAATCCACGTTAGAGTGAATTTTTCCACTTGGCTGTTATAATCTGTTCTTGCGTTACACAACGTAATTTCTCTTTTTTCCCCTCTGAGATTCTGCTTAGAAAATGAGGTTATGAAGTTACATCCTCCTGCTGCTTTTTGTTTTTAAAATGGTAAATGTAGGTTCGCCTCAATTTTTATAAACTAATGTCTCTTATATGCATCATTTTTGTATGCATATTTGTGCGTGGTGGCTGTTCTGCAATCAGCAGGTTAGAAACAATGCTGGAATGTTTCTTCATCTTCCTTTGCTGCAAAACTTGCAATAATCTCTTTATAACAATATACCATAAATGTTTGAGGCTGCTTGAGATACTGTTTTTACTTGTCAAACATCAATGTCAAATGTTGCAGGTGCTGCTGGTTTGTCAGGTGCCGCCAGTGCAGCTGTAGCCGGTGCAGGAGCCGCAGCAGGGTGGGTGGCCAGCTTCTTCGGCTGAAAATCGCCTACAAAATACAAAATATATTGTTTATGTGTAGGGGAGTGTAGGTATGTGCTAATACTCCTGAAGCATTGTTTTGCATTATGACCTATATATTAAAAAAAAGTTGCTTGAGTGGAATTTGAAACAAGACAAAGTATTTCTCTACTTCACAAAATGTAAACAGTCTGTTACAAAATGAAAGAGCAATAAAAGTCTTATTGAAAGTTTTTGTGGTTGCAGTCTTTTAAGTGTATCAGTTTGAAAAACTTTTTTTTTATAACAGAAACAAGTTAACCTCATCTCTACCATATCTTACTCTCAGCACCTTGACTTGCTATAACAGTGAAGATAATTTGACTGGGAGGTAAAGATTTAAAACAGCTTTTACTTTCTCTTAGTCAACATGACAAATGATGGCTGATGGCTTTGGAAACAAGTGAGTTTTTTTGTTGTTTATTTAACTTACTTTTCTAATAATTACAGAAAAATAATATTTCTGGTGCAAATACTATGGCATATCATAACACCTCAGGCTGCAGGGATGATGTCATGCTGTTGCTAATGGAGGAGGAATGGCAGCAGGGAGTCTAGTATATCTTACAGTCAGCAGGTAATTGTGTTTAAATTTAGCTTTGACTTCCCATGTTGATACTCAACACAATTGTGGTTTCCTGCAGTGCTGCAACATGGGAACAGTTAGAGGTTTTGTATTATCAAGCAGATTTTAATATTAAGCAAACATACTGAAATTCAAAATGTAGTTCAAATGATAGTTTCAGTCATCTGAGGACATAGCTATTCATTTTGCCCTATTTGGGAACATAACTACACCAATTGTTAAATCACGTCATGATCTAACTATCATTAACCTCATTTTCTTTAAAGCTGAGCTCAATTTTGGATGATAAGCATCCGACTTGCATATTCAAGACATGACCTAAAAAGAACCTGTCTGACAACAGGAAGGATGTTAAAGAACAAATGAAAAAAAACTTAAAGAAATTGAAGAACAGAGTTTGGTCAGAGTTAGAAAGACATTATCCACATGGGGAAAACTATCCTAGAGTGATTTGACATCCCAAAATGATCACCCAGTTGTTACATATATAAAAAGAAAACAGAACACATCTAAACCAGATTTTGATTCATTTATGCTCATTGTTTCTGATTCAACAACAGGGAAGAACCTTTCTAGCTCCACTTTTCAATAAAGTGCTCCCATAGCTCTTTTCAAAACATACAAACACACATCAATAGGAAAAACTGCAGGCAACTTGGGGTTAAGTGCCTTGCTCAGGAGTACATGTGAGAGGAGGAAGATGAAATCACAACTTACAGATCACAAAATCATTCTTTCTACTGAGCCACGGTGGTCTAAGTCTTGTCTATGCCAGATAAACTTAAAAAGCAGCATTTTCTGACCCACCATCATAGGACGTTGAAGCAAGGGAACAACGTGAAGTACTGGTGGATATCCAGCTCTGATGATTTCAAGACTCATTAAGTAGGATGAAAACTGGCCTCAGTGGTCACTGAGGCCACTGAATGTCCATTTCAGGCTTTTGCAGATGTTTTACAGAGAAGCCTGACGTAATTAATGATCTTTGGAAAACAGAGCTCTGTCTCCCCCTGCTGACAATAGAAAAGAAGTGCAAATATTTAGACAAAATCCCTTTGGTATATTTGTGAAAACTCTTTCAAGGAGTTTCTCTCTTGATCTTTATTTAAATAATTTCCTTATAAAGATGAAGTGAAGCTAATTTCCACAGCAAATAATAAATAAGCAAATAAATAAAATCAGCTTTCTGATGAGAGAACTGGCTACAATGATTTGTTTAATAAACTTATTTGGTTTTTAAAGAGAAGATACTGCACACTCCTTTACAGAAACTGACACAAAGTCCACATTTAACAGCAAACATTACCTTCACCACAAGCCTGTGTTGATTCATTGCCAGAACAATAAGTGCCATAACATTTAAACATCACGTAAGGCAGGCTTTAGCATTGGACATGGTTAACATTCAGAAACAAGCAGCAAACATGAAGAATGTAGCGCTGATTTTAACAAACGCTGAAGCTCCTGTGGCCTGCATAATCTATTTATCAAGGGCAAACAAATTCAAAATCATTTGCACACAATTTCATGTTTTGAAACAAACATGAACATTAATCATTTTTGCAACAAGTATAATGCACAAAAACAAACAAAGCACAAAGCAAAGCAGTGTTACATAAAGGAAAGAACTGGGATAAAAGGCACACTTTATGAAGTAGAATTGCACAAATCTCCTAATTTGCATAAAACTGGAACTTACAAAAATAGTCATGATTTCCTTTTTCCTATTTCTCGATAAATACTGGAATTGATAGATCTTTCAGTTTTACTACATCTATATTTATTTTTTTATTACATTTTTTTTATCTCTTGATGGGGGGGAAAAGTATAAAAAGCCAGAAAAATACATACTTTTTGTATATCAGGCACATTTCCAATTTAAAATAACCTTATAAAATATTTATTGTGGTCACTGAGGCTGTTAATAAATACTTGAAATGTATTTGTTAACCTGGAAATGATTATTTCCAGGTCAGCTTTTACTCAGTAATGAAATAATGAGGAATCCTATAGCTTATTTCCTCATTTTAGCAAAATTAGCAAATTTTTAATTCTTTTCAAAAAGTGTATTAAAATCAGTTTAATTTCTTTACCACAAATTGGCAAAATGATTACAAATGAATGTTGTTGAATTAATATTAATATGCAAACATTTCTTTGTCAAATGGCTTAATGTTGCTTTAGGACATACATCTAATACATTTAATAATAAACATTTATCAACTACATATCTACTCAAGGTGCTGGTAAGGTTATTACTATAAGTATTTTTTGGTTGACGTAATGATACATATCAGAAAGTGCATCAGTTAGATATTAAAATGAATTTTTTTTTTCCTTTTAAACAGTTATTACACTTATCATGCAGCAGAAAATTAGTTCCTCATGGACTCCTGAGCTTCTGAAATGCTGAATTTCTGCTACTTAATTGAAGAAACCTCTTTGTCTTTTAGTCCTTTTCTCTCTGGGACCCTTTGAGCGATCCCATAGGGCACATGGCATGCCACTGTTCCCATTTCAGCTGCTCCTTCCACGTGAAACATCTGGTCGTCAAAGAAGATGTGCGGCCTTATCTTCTCTAAGATGGGACCCTTGGGTGCCCCTGCGAGAAACAGGGCCTCGTCGATCTCTAGACCCCACGACCGCAGAGTTTTTAGGGCTCTGGCCCCGGAACTGGCTGCACTGCGAGCCGTCACCAGGTAGGTCCTAACGGGGCAGTCCATGCGCTGGCCTTTGGCATAAAACTTCTTCTGGAGCTTTCCTAAAACCTCCAGGAAGCCTTTCAACGGTCCCTGAGGGAAGAGAAGATCAAAGTAGATGGTACATTACTCACCCTGAAATTCTGCATTTGGCCAAAACATTTGCATTTGACTTTAAAAGCTTCAAAGAAAGAGAGATGCACTTAATAGACTCTCTTCAGAGTATAAAAGCTCTCTGCAGATACTCAAATATTTGTACTGTTTCCATAATACTATGCACCAATTTAGGAATAATGTAAACAAGCATCAGTGTTGCCTTATCATTTATGTAACTATACAAAAACAGGTTTATGACAATGATAAGTGCCCCATTTTGTGTACTTTACATGGTCCAGAGGCTTGTTCTCGTGAGCCTTCTCATGTTCAAAGAACTTGTCCAGTCCGTGAGCCTTATAAATCTGCTCCGATTCATCTGAGAAGAGCACGGCATCACCATCAAAAGCAACGCGGAGCTGAGTCTCTGACACTTCCGTCATCTTCTCCTGGGTAAACATGGTGGCCGCTGCTATACCTGGTTCACACACATATAACTCGTCAAACATAAACAAGTCAAATGTCGTATTTGGAGACTTAGAGTGCAGGTCCCTCTGTGATCATGATACCTTGTTCCAGAGCCTCGCGAACTTTGACTGGGTCAGAAGACAAGTAGAGGTTAGTGTTGTAGGCCGTTAAGTAACCGATGGGACTGTTTCCTCCAGTCATACAGAATCGCTCAATGAACAACTCTGGAAGAGAAGAAACGTAATAAATGTGCACAAATCTGCATTTGTACACATGGGTCAAACTGCCACAGTTTGACACAGTCTAATCTAGCAGTTTAATCACCTTTTTTTTTTTTTTTGCACCAATAAAAATGGTGCAAAGGAATCAAATCTCGGTTGCAGACATTCTGATGTCAGGGTGAGAGAGTTGCTGCTACTACCAATCCTTCAGCCACAAATATTCTCATTGCTCTTTTCCAAAAACAGCAGAATTTCCCATCACAAAAACTTTAGCACAGCAGGAATGGCACCAGAAGAACTGCACAGGAAGTATACTACTCACATACATGCATAAATGTTGCCTTATCAGCTTTACCTTCAGTGGATATTAATATTAAAAAACTATGCAAAAATGCAATTTTGGTCAGTTATGCTCAGTAGTATGATTCCAGTGCAAACTTAAACATGCAGATTCAAGTTGTCCAGTTATACCACTGCTGTTCATCTGAAGCAACTGAGTTGGGCTCCATAACTAAGACTCCAACATAATGCTGCCTTTATAATCAAAATTAGCACAGACACGACAGAAAATCACTCTCGAAGCTTGTAGCATTTATTTCTTTGTGTTGCATTGTGGTGTGTGAACCATGAGAAAGATCCCACTGTTACGACAGTCAGTCCCAGTTCAGCCAGCAGGAAACACCATGACAATTTCACACGCACGTCAACACAGGAACTGGGAGATTGTGAACAATCGAGGCTTTAAAAAGTCATTTAATAGTTCAAAAATAGCTGTTCCACAGTGCATTTTTAAATCACAGTCAGTTTATTTCTGTTTTTGTGGTCATCTTTAGTCAGCAGCACCATCTGGACTTGATTTATAATATTTCATTACTGATCTAAAGAGAATTTATGAGGGAATAGAAAGACCCAGCTGCTGAGGCACTCTGCTTTTATACAGCGGAAGATGGATCCAGAGACTATTCTAACTCAGAGCTACAGCCAGTCCTGAAGAATAAAATAAGCATACCATCTAAATGTAATATTTTCATTCCCTCAGATTAATGTGAAAATAATCTCTAAGTGGAAGGGCTAACCCGGGTCAAACTGTGGCAGTTTAATCTCAGTCACAGATCTGTTTCCAAGCCTTTCGTAAATCACTTATCACCTGCTTAGTGTCCTGAATAAAACCCAATTCATCACCAAGCTCTCCCAACACATCTGCAGGTTTTTGTTTGCTGTCCTGTTTCATTTTTGACTCTAATTTCAGTGATGCACGAACGTAAAAGCAGTCAGTGAGGTTACTGTGAGTACATTTTAAGAGAGCTACATAAAGAGATGTAAAATCTCTATGGAGGTTTTTTTTTTTTTTTTTGCAGATTTGTACATAACTTTATGAATGAGGTAAAAAATAATCTCTGAATGCTTGTGAAAACATGACTGTTTTGCTTTTTAAGGATGTGATTCTGTTAAAATTTCTGCTGTTGCTTTCAATTGTTTTGGTCAGCAGGTTTAGCAGCAAAATGGATGATCCTGCTTACTTGAACAAACACACTTAGCAGGATAAAGTGAGGCGTCATGAATATTTAATTGACTCCACAGTAGACAGGATAATGGCTGAAGTGATGGCAAGAGACAGGAATGTATAAAGGACAATACATGATAATCAGTTTTTGCTCTATTTTAGAAATCTCAACCTACTTTCTGTTCGTTCTGCACACCTGCTTGTTTTTAAATGCACCAATTTATATCTAAATTATTTTTTCTTTCAAATATAATTTAATCAAACAGATTAAAATTAAGCAGGTTTAAAATAACAGTAATAATAATAATAATAATTAAAATTATTTAATTTAATCTAAAGAGCCATTTATTTTGAGACTTCTTTCTGACCTCACACTAGCAAAAAGAAGTAGATAAAAAAAAAATAAAACTTGTGTTCATGCTCAGTGTAAAACAAACAACTTAATGAAAAGCAGCACTGGTCAGGATGATGGCATAAAATATTTAAAAATATAACCAAATCCATTTTTTTTGCATTTCTTTCTAGACAAATTAGAATATTATCAAAAACATATTTGTTTCACTTATATGGTTTAAAAGTCAAGCTCATATAAGGAATTTTTTTTCACAGAGTGCTATTTATTTTGCAAGCTGTTGCTTTTGATGATTGTGTCTAATAAAACACAAAACTCTGTTTCTCGGAGGATTAGAAATTATTATATAAGACCAGAAAATATTTTTTATTTTTTTATTTTTTTTCACTTAATACTTGATTGAGGTTTAGACACTGTACTTTTAGCTTTCACTCATCTTTTAATTAATATGTATCCTGTCTCTGTGTGGTTGTTGAAGGGAGTTTTGGAGGGTTGTAAAGGAGAATAAAAGCATCAAGTTGCCCTGTAGGTTAAGTCAAAAGAGGGAAAAGTTTCACATGCTAGGAATGATCTGTGTATCAACGACTTACGGTGATGATTGATGGTATTGATGAGTCTCAGGCCGACATAAGCGTGGTTGTTGGTGATGAGAACAACGTCAAAGAGCTCCTCACTCTCAGGATAAAGGTCCCTCAGCTGAGTGTTGACTGCCTCCAGGGCCTGGCAATAAAACCAAATCAGATGTAAAGGGAATCAAAACAACGACACACCAAACACTGGCTTTGAAAATCAGCTTTCATTCGACGGCCCTCTGACCTTGACAAAGGAGAAGGCAGGTCCGGGGCTGAAAGGCTCGGTTTCATGCGCCACCTGATACTTGATGTACTCCTCCATGCCCTGCTGCTCGAAGATCTGCTGCTCCTTATCCATGTTGAACAGGACTCTGGACGACACCGCGATGGTGATAGAGTTCTCTGGCTTGGGCTGGAGGGTCGCAGGTTTAACACACGTCATTTTAAACTGGACCTGATACTTCTACTTAATTATCCAAATCTACGCTGAGGAGAACAAACAGAACAATAGTAAAGCGAGATAACTGCTGTGACTGAAAGTGAGTGTGACATGAAATGCCTCCCAATGCTGATAATGCTGCTTCACATACCAGAGTTTTGAACCCGTTAACTCTTTGAGTGTCTGCTGCCCACTGTAGCATTCATTTGATTACATTTGAACACATTTTTATGAGAATTTTAAAATATTATCTCAACTGCAGCTTTAATATGTTTGCTGGATGAGACAACAAATGTAATAAACATCCATTTTTTTAGGGTTGTGTTTTAATTTTTTATGGGGCATACGTTGCTCATTTATTGGAATTCACCATAACATTTTCACACAATTATGACAAATAATATTGGTTTGGACAGTCATCGAGCAGATAGTCACTGACACTTTTCACAGGAATGAGATTAAGACAATAAAGGTTAGTGCTAAGCACGCTCTATCCAAGTATGTCATTGGACGGTTGAGTGGAAGGAAAAACTGTGATAAAAATAAAAAGCTGCGTAATAAAATGTTTTTTGTTTGTTTGTTTTTTTATTTTCCAGAAGATTCTAGAAAATTTCTTGCTTCCATTCCTCTGACAAACTTTATGGACGTGTGTTATTTTTCCAGTATAACATAACACCTGCTCACATGACCAAACAAATCAAAATTTCCCTTATGTTGCTTTACCCAGAAGTTTCTGATTGCCTTCGTTCTGGGCTGCACTGGTGTAATAATTCATGTAAAGTAACCGTCAGGCAACTATTGGGTGCACATGCTGTGCACTTCACAAACTGAGCTGATATTTCTATGCTATACCTAATTGAGAAGTGGAATTTTCAGTTATAAGTTGTAATCCTGGAAATGATCTCAATTAAATGTGAATATTTACTTTGAGGTGCAGAAGCTGGTCTGTGCCCGAATGTGAGCTGCTTTAGCCGGTCACAGTCAGGTCACCGCTTGTCGTTATCTACCCTCCTGATCTGAAACACGACCTCTGCAGCTTGCTCGTTTGTAAGCTGGTACAACGGAGCATCCGATCCTGTTTCACATAGCATCATCACTATGCAATTTTATTTACAATGAGCTGGAACCTTTAAATAATTAATTGGCTACTGACACCAATTTCAAACTTTTCAGTGAAATTTTTTTTAGATAGAATTAAAATATTCTCTTTGTTGCTCTTGTCTAAGCTACAATAAATGACGGCCACTCTGAAATTATTCGACGAAGTTCAATGAACTATGTCTGACTTCATTTTGACCTCATATAACAACTACCCTCAGCAAACCTCTTTATGCTGTAGCCAAACCCGTATTGATGAGAGATACTCACCGTCTTTTTTGAGGGTGTGGATGGCTTCAAAAGTTCCTTAGCATCTTCCGATGAGTTCTGGCTGCCGTTCTTGACCACATCTTGTCCACTGATTGTCAGAGTCTGAATGCTGCTTCGACTCATTGTGCTGCTTCAGTTCACAGCTCACACTCAGGATCACACCGAGTCCCAGTGTGATCCCCTCTTATTTAAATATACTTTAAAATACTCTTATATAGCAAAAGCTTCAAACAAAATTCACTCTCCCCAAATTGAATGCAGTCTTGCAGCCATCAGCACGTGAGCTCAATATTTTTGGAGCTCCTGAGGCACTTGGATATAAAAATATGACATGCTGCAGAAAAGACAGAGGATGCAGACAAGATTCAAGCTGTGACCTTGGTTTGATATGTCCACCATCGTTTGGAGGAAAATCCTGGATGGGGTCTTCTGTGCTGCACTATCCTCTCCTGTTTTGCACACTCTGTCCTGACTTCAAGCCATTCTGTATCCTCCCACCGTTAACTCTTTCAGTGTCAGACTCCCCTGAGTCATAGCAGAGCATGTGATTTAATCTGGATGACAACCGGTTGCTGCGCACTATGGGACATTAACCGTCTGAGTGTCCTGATACTTTCACCTCCCCTCATGTAACATCTGACTCACAATTTGTTCGTCAGAAGGTGTTAAGTATTACAGCAAAAGGTGCATTGTATACTCTAAGATAAACTATTTCATAATCCTGCATAGCATTGTGGGAACTGCAGTCCATCTTGGCTCTCTCGTTTAGAGCCTCCTGAAACCTCACCAGGTTGTCGCAGGGACTGAGTTACAAAGCAGCAGTCCCAGTTTCCAGGCAACAAGCGTGGAGTCGAAGCAAATGGGACACTCCCATACGTTCTATACATCTGATTGGCTGCATGGACTCCATTTGAAATACATCATCCTCCAACCCCAGGAGCCAGAAACAAGCAGGTGAGGCAAGGAGAAAAGATGAAAGTGCATGCTGTGCTTTGAAGAGCATTCAATTATCATTAATAGAGGTAATTTAGCTTTTATCAAACCAGACAGGCAAGGTGGTTTCTGGCAGGAGATACTAAGCAGGACCACGGATTAACTAAAGGAAGAAAAAATAAAACAGACACACCTTTAAAGATAGCAGACCATCACAAGCATCATCTTTATACAACTACCACTTTTAGAATAAAACATTGAACTGGTATATATTTTGTTATTTATGTTACTTTCTGTGTTGGACCAAAACTAAATGTATAAAATACAAACTAAATTTCTGATATAGTTAATAATTTAAAAAAAACATCAGAAGAAGTGGAAACTTATTTCAAATATATTGGTTTCTTTAAAATACCTAATGTATCAGGTGTATTTCAAAGAAACAAGGGAAATACATTTATTTTACTAGAAAAAAGCACATCTATATGTTACCGGTATATAGATATAGATAGTGATAAATACAAATGGTTTAGTAATATTAATGAAATTTATAAAGAATTTTATAAAGTTTTAATAAATTTGATAAAAAAGATCCACAATTTGTGTATATATAATACATATTTCATAGATTATTTTATTAGAAACTTTACGAAGTATGGCGCAATGAATGAAATAAGACTGGCGAATTTGAAAAAGCCGATTCTGTAAACACTCATCTCTTGCAGTTGATAGTTAGAGCCACTAGAGTGCAGCAGAGGGCCAATAGCTCCTCCATGAATGCTTCAGATTCATTCATACCTTTGGGTGGCCGTAGACAAAGAGGATGTGAAAGAAACACTCTGTCAGAGGAAGTTGACTAAAAACTTTGTGTTCGAGTAGCTTTAAAAATTCAACTAGTATGCTGAGTCAAACAAAAAGGGGGATCCTGAATCTATGGTTTCATATTACGTACATTCCCTGATTTACAAGAAATAGCTTAACTGTAATAGTAGAGATAAAATTACTTCTTGGATATCTGAAAAAAAAAAAAATAAATAAATAAATAAAATAAAATCAAAAGGCAATGCATTAACTCCAACACTTATAAAACCACTTAAAAGTGTCGGAGTTCTGAGTTAAAAAGCAACCCTCTGATTTCTGTCTGTCTTTGTGTTGGAGCCCATTGCTCAAATAGGGTTAGCAGGGCATCGAGACAGTTGGGCCGCACCCTCTGAGCTGATTTGAATAGCACCGGCTTTTTGGCGCGAGGCTGAGGGTAGGCCGTCTTTCTTCATGCCGGCTGTGCAGCCACTCCTCCCTCCCTGTAGTGGCGGGAAACACTGGCGGGAAAGAAAAGCGGTAATAGGCGGGTTTTGGGTGGGCTTTAGAAAACCTGTGCTGTACCTTGGAAGCATGTCAGACATTAGAGGATACCTCGGAAACAAAGGTCAATGGAAAAAAGAAGCAGGAAGAAAGAAAGCAACTCTACCTCTTGTTTCTGCTTTAAACTGGAAGTCAGATAAAGATAGCTGTGGGTGGAGACAAAGAACTGAGCATGGGAGGAGAAGACCAGAACAAAGAGGGTAGCAGCCTGGACAACCCCCCCCTACTCTTTACGTGGCCCCACCCCCCTAACACACAGCCTGGAGGCTTGAAGCAAGCCAAATGACTATTATAACCATAATCAGACCTTTAAAGCAGCTACTCGGGCATATTCACCACCACTAGATTCTTTGTTCTCAAAGGGATTCTGCTTAAGCAATGCACCATAACCAAAGTCGAGTGAAGGTCTTTCTTTTTTTACTGCTGAGAACAACCTTCAATCTCCAAACTAAAGAATAATAAAAAAAAAAAAAACGTCATTTGCGGACCTGGCAGCGCAGGCAATCAGCAGTCACATAATTGGATTTGTCGTTATTAGCTTTCAGAGATTGAGGGTTACCCCAGCCTCCTAATCCATTTTACCAGTAAAACAGGTATCACCTGAGTGGGAGCCAGTGTGGCAAATTTCACCCATTACAGAGCAAAATAAGCAGCGGTTCCTCCTCACTTCCTGCCTCCAATGAGTTTAACACAAAAACAGGAAGCCTGCAGAGCTTGTGCATTTCCTAGATCTTATTACGCTGCGTCTTTTCTTGTGTTTCACACATGCCAGCCTTCGGTGGGGTGAGCGAAGGAAAACAGAGGCAGTGATTGTTACATAAGCAGGTGATCTATCAGAGGCCCTGACAACAACAGCAGTTTCATGGAAGAAGGATCTGCAGCCAAATGAGACAAAAAGAGCCATTAAACACAACTTGCATTCCCCATGTGATAAGATACAGCAAGATATAGTGAGGCATTTAACTGCAGAATGATGCAAATACACCCCAATGCTGCAGTAATACGCAAATAAACAGGACTCCTGACTAGAGTAAGATGTAAAAACTAGCAGAGAAGTGTTGGTTGGTGGAGGAGCAACAACTTAGAGGGCTGTTAGGGGTTGAAAGGGGATAGGGGGAAGGGCAAAGTCTTCAAAGTGGGGGGAGGGGGGGTCAGAGGGTGACAGCACTGAAAGGGGCTAAATTCAAAAGATGCAGAAAGAGTCCTAAACTCAACTGAAGCAACCTTACACCGCAGGGCCTAACAAAAGGAACATCTGCCCGCTTGACAAAAGTTTAACGCTCACCATAAGAGCATCAGTAGCTCTGTTTTGAAGGGCCACAGTCACTCTTCAGCAGAGGCAACAGGTTTAAACCTATTTGCAGCTTTATTTTGAAGATTTTCAACGTGCTGTTACTTGGAAAAATTGACAGAGCTGCCGTGGCTATTTTGGGTATGCAAATCATACACGTGTGCACTGTAACTTGCTTTGAAAACTTTTAATGTAACTGTTCATCCACAAAGCATCTGGCAGTGTCGACAAGACGTAACTGGTCCCACAAAGTCAGAATATTCTTCACAAGAATAGACAAACTGCGGAGACAGAAAGTAAAACTGAAGATTTCCGAGAAGGACCATGTGGTGGGATGTGTAACTCTGTGGTTACCGTCTGTGTAGGGAAAAAAAAAAGAGGCCTGGTAAAGACATGAGGATCCAGCGGTGAAGGATTCAAAGTAAAATATGGTCGCCGTCTTTTCCAAAACTACAAAACGTACAAAAACACACACTTAAAAGTTTCACATCATCAAACACATTTTTTCGACAAAGAAAGACAACCTCAAAATTTTATTTACTTTTTTAAGTTTCAAATGCTCCATTCATCTATTAGGGAAAAAATAGATAAGATTTGCCAACACTTGAAAATATAATTACCATTTTTAAGTCAGGACTCAAGCACAATTCATGGACGGATTAGATTTAACCCAGGGCTGATTACTGTCACACCTAAAGTGTCAACATATCAATTACTGGTAAGTAAAACCTGGATGACTGAATGAAGTACTCGAAAAGGTCAACAAAAAAAATTACATCATGCCTCCATCTAAAGAAATGTAAGAAGAGATGACAAACACTATTGTCACAGACATTGACAATCAGTCAGCAAATAACATTTAAAGGTCTTTTAATAGCTAATTAATATTATGAAATGGTTCACATTTTGCTTTACTATGATATTTCATATGTGTTAAAAAGTTTATTGATGATTGCTAAGACTTTTGAGAAAACACTCTGGACTGATGACGCAACCTAGTCGATGGAAGACACTAGGTTACATTTTTGAAAGCTGCGTTTTGAACTTGCTCAGTAACCTTTATCCAATACTAAACTGTACTTCTCACTTGGAAAGAATTAGATAACAATAAGTTATAAAAGGCAAATAAAAATCAATCTGTATTAACGAAAATGTATGTATCAACTTTACAAGATTGATACATACAAGGTGCCAAGTTTCGTGCTAGAATTCACATATGGAATATATTTTCGTACATGCAGATCTGCTCCACAATATTCTTGCACTGGGTGACACGATTCAAACTGTTAAAACCCTACTGTGTCTGCAGTGTGCTGCATTTTCATCCGCTTATAGAATAGAAAGGTGTTAAACTGTAAGGCTATCTTTGAGAGCGCCAGACTTGCTTAAATGATTTACATAAAGAAAAAGAGCATGAGATTAAGCAAAATAGGCTACCAAGGCAAAATCTGTGATTGAATCATAACTCACGAGTCCTCAGTTATCTACATTGAGTAGATGACAGGAAAGAAAAAGAATTTGGAGCATAAAATGAAACAAACATTTATCTTAGGGTTTTCCACCTTCTGCTACTAATTTTGCTTCCAGTCAGTGCTCACATTAAGAAAAGTGGAGGCAAGAAAGGGTTGCTAGGATTCAATCCTCTGTGTTTCCTGTAGTGTATCCATTAACCAGCATCATGGCTGAATCACTAAAGTTACTGCTGCCTCTCTGGGGGCCAAAAGCACCATAAAAACAGATTACTCACTTGTCCTAAAATAACATTTTCATGTTTATTTTATTTTAAATCTCACATTAGGTGTTCATACAAGGGTACGCAAAATTATTCAGACCACAAGTTGTTTTTATTTCCCATTACAATGGAAAACTTTGCTGTGTTTGCAGTTCACACACAAGTTGAGACAAACCAAAACATACACATCTGAATTTGACCTCTCATCTACATGAGCAGGCTAAGCAATTTGAATGGCGTCAGGCAACGTTAGATTTAATCATAGCAAAC